AATAAAATTAATTTTTGTATTTTTTCTACAAAGTAATAAAAATAATATAATTAATACAACTTAAAAATACAAATTAATTAGGCAAAGCATCGTAAATCCAACCCATTAGAGATTAGCAAAAAAAAAGTGTTAATAAAATAACATGATACACGACCACAACAACCCCCCCGGGTCGCCGCGGTTTCAAAATAAACGAATGAGGGACTGCCAGTGTTATAATGGACTTCGTTTTTCTCAAAAATTTAAAGCCAATGGCCACCAGATGGTAGCATTTTTTTTTTTTTATTTGAACTTAGCTGCTTGACCATAAATATCTAGGATTTTATTTTGTTTTTTTTGTATATCAAAGTATTAACTGTTTAGCATCACCACTCCAAATCAAAGTTTTTGAGTTAGTGAATACAAATTCCCCCAAATTTGACCTCTTGTTGGTTTCAACCTCTCTTACTCTGCCATTGCTGCTACTACTACTGTTGTTGCTGCTACTACTACCAGTGAGTATAAATTCAGCTGAGCTTGCCAAGCTCTTGCTGGTTTTAAGCTCTCATACTACACCAAGCTCGCCAAGCTCACCAAGCTCTTGTTGGTTTTAAGCTTTACTAGTACAAGCTCAAATTAAAGTTTTAAAATTAGGGAGTGCAAAACTTGGCAAGCTCTTGTTGGTTTACTACTACTACTATTACTCTCTTCTTTTTAGACTAACAGTAGTTGTTTTTTGACAAAAAATTATCTCAAATTAATTGCCATTTTAAAAATTTTTGGTATAAAATAACCCTTTCAACTTTTTAATTGTCCTAATCCCTTAATTTTATATAAAAAAATTATCTAAGTGCAAATGGTAAACAAAAATTATATACAAAAAGAAAAAAATTTTAATTTCTACTCTATTTGCTTTATAAAAAAATCTTGTCTAACCTTGTTGCAAAAATCGATTTAAGATAACTAAATCAAACATGAAGAAGTTATTTCTTGTTGTGTTTTAACTTTAAACTTTATTGAGTTACAAATTATTACTTAATTTTTAATACTCCACCCTCTTGCGTACTATGTATTTTCTTCATCTTTATCTTTTTATTTGGACATAAGGTGCCAACTACCCCCAATATTTTCAAATTGAAGCAAATTAGTATTAAAAAAATTAAAGCAAAAAACCATCACAAATTTTTATTTATAGAAATTGGCTCAAATTAATGGTTAACTTCAATACCATTATTTGTCTGTTAAATTATTGTCCTTGGTGTCTACAGTAGTTGACATCAGCTATTAAATTTAGGCCAATTTCTCTAAAATAAAATTGTCATGACCCAAAACCGAAAGTGAAATAGATGCCGTACACTTGTGAGGAACGCCCACAAATGTTTAAATCATATCTAGCAATTCACATCACTTAGATCCAAAGTCTCAAGTAAAATCTAAATCTTCAATAACCAAGGTTTGGCTAGGCCAAAGTGTACACAAGTTTTACAGTTCTAATATTTAAGTCGTAATTATCTCCAAGGGGGTCTAGTGTCCAAAAGAATGATTAACCACCAACATATATGTCAAATAAAAAAAAAAAATGGGACTAGTAGCTTAACTCCATAACAACCTAAGCCCAAAATATAGGTAGCTACCCTTCTAGCTAGTCACACCCCTTGGTTTCCCGCATCTCTGGGATTGCTACTTGAAATGGTGGATAAGGAAAAACTATGAGATATCTCAGTAAGTAAAATATGGATAATCCTCATTTATAGTTAAATGTGCCATCAAGTGTAATAAAACTTTAAGAAAAACAATACGAATGCAGGGAATGAAATAGACGTCTCCTCTATAAATCATGACCAGCGTTTGTAAACCTCCCATTGGCGGGCACAAGATTTGCTATTGTATAATCCCACTAGTAGGATAACAAGTATAACAAGAATGAACCGGTTCCGTAAGTAACATGTTGACGTGTGCTAGCATTTATAAACCTCTCACTAGTGAGCACAAGTAATACATGACTATATTGGAGACTAAAACAGGTTAGAAAGTACATTTCAAGTAAATTCAAGAAAACATGTATAACAAGGAGCAAGTAATATATGTCAAAAAAAACTTATATAAATAGGCTTGCTTAACCAATTGAAATCCAACTCGATAAAATAAGATTTAGTCATGGTAGTTAATCCAAAACAGACTTTTAATCCTACCACCATCTCAAAATCGATAAAAGTCATGGTTCAAACTTACATTTTAAAATCAAGGATGAACCATAAATTTACTTACCCTCCCTTGTCGCTATACCGTAAGCTAGAATTCAAGTCTCAAGGAGGTGAAGGTGTCTTAGAACCTATTTTGATATCAAGAACAACAAGATCACAACATGCCTCATTTAACTAAATCTGTCTTTAATTCTAGCACCAAGTTTTAACCCAAAGGAACAATTTCTCTCTATTTCCTCTTGCCATTTCTACCCATCAAAACCTTAGTAGCATATGTATATTAATTCATATGCATAACTATTTTAAAAAAAATTCCAAATATGACAGCTGACATATCAAAAATTTTCAGCAAGGAGCAGCAAAATTTTCTTAGATGGCAAGAAATTTTGGGCAAAACAATGCAGAATATAGCAAGGGAAATGCAAAAAAATGCAAAATTTTCTAAGCTAAAATAGTGTAGAATACGGCAAGGGAAATGTAGAAAAAAAAAAGCAAAATTTTTGGGCTAAAACAGTGTAGAATACAGCAAGGGAAATACAGGAAAGTGTGGGAAAATTCTTAGCAGAATAGAGCAGACAATAGCAAGGATAAGTGTAGGAAAATGCAGATAAATTCTGCACCACAACAAGTACAAATTTTGGACACAACAATAGAAAGTTCAAGACAAAACAACAGGAGAATCTAAGCAAAAACAATAGCAAAACTCTAAACAAACACAGCCACCAAATGAAATTTTTTTCTTAAAAACAAAACAACACAAATACAAGTGTGAGAACTACAGCAAAGTGAACATAACAACACTTGATCTCCTACTAATAGTTGTAGAAAAACATCAACATTGCCACAAGTTTAGAGGCAAGAAAAGCATAAACAAATTCCAAATTCACCTAACACAACACTATCACGATCTTTCAAGAAGATAAAGAATAGAATACCCATAAATCCTATGCTATTTCCCAAATCTAAAATGGTCAATGTTCAACTAAGTCTACCAAAATTAGAGAAAGAAAAAGATTGGTTTCGTGCTCACATCTTACTAGGAAATTGTGAGTGAGAGTGGCGGTTCGTGCTCACATCTTACTAGGAAATTGTGAGTGAGAGTGGCGGTTCGTGCTCACATCTTACTAGGATATTGTGAGTGAGAGTGGCGGTTCCTCCTAAAATGGGAACCCGAATGGCAAAGACAGCCGAAACTTGAAGGGGGCTAGCGTTTGCTTGTAGAAAAAGGGAAACCTAAGGCTGCTGAAGGTGACACGTGACTATGGTGGGGTGGGGGGAACAATGAGCTGCTGTCTAGGGGATTTATGAGATGTGGGTGAGAGGATTTGGAGGAGCAAGATTGGCGATGGGAATTGGTGAAGGACGGAGAATGGTGGTGACAGATTGAGGATGGTGGGGATGGATTAGAGTTCCTAAAAATGGGAGAATCGGGAGCTTATACTCCTGACACTCCACCCTCCCTTAGGTTTGAAATTTGTGACCATTATGCTCTGCAAAAGATAGTTTCTTCCACATAAGTCTCAAACTTAAATTTTAAGGTTTAAGAAAAATTTTGGGTTATTACATCCGCCCCTCCTAAAAAGGAGTTTATTCCCCTAAACTCGTACCTCAATCTTAGAAGAGGCGTGGATGTTCCTGCCTCATTTTGGATTCTAACTCCCAAGTAGCTTATTCAACGAAATGGTTATCCCAAAGAACCTTAACAAAATGAACAGTCCTCATCTGCATTATTCTTTCTTTGGAATCTAAAATACGAATCAGGTGCTCATCATAAGTTAGATCTCCTCGGAGTTGAATGGGTTTGGGATCAATGATCTGGCTCAGGTCGGGAACATATTTCCGAAGTAAGGACACATGAAACACATCATGAACACCCGCTAAATTTTCAGGCAACTCTAATCTATAAGTTACCTCGCCAACCCTTTTTAGAATTGGATATGGTCCAATACACCTCGGACTCAATTTCCCCCAGATGCCAAACCAAGGACACCTCGAGTGGGTGACACCCTCAAAAATACACAATCACCAACTTTAAACTCAAGGTCTCGTCTCCTTCTATCCGCATAAATTTTATACTTACTTTGTGCAACACAAAGGTGTTCCTTGATCAATTGTACAATTTTAGAAGCTTGTTGTACCAATTCTGGGCCTAGAATGCTCCTCTCGCCTACCTCTGTCCAACAGACAGGTGATCTACACCTTCGGCCATACAAAGCCTCAAGTGGTGCCATACGAATGCTGGACTGATAGTTGTGATTATATGCAAATTCAGCTGTAGATAAGTGTTGATCCCATGAACCCTTCCAATCAAGAACATAAGCCCTCAACATGTCCTCAAGTATTTGAATAGTTCTCTCAGAATGTCCATCAGTTTGAGGATGGAAAGTTGTGCTAAAATTCAAATGTGTGCCAAGTGCTTGTTGCAAACTTGTCCAAAAATGAGATAAGAATCTAGTATCTCTATCCAACACTATAGACACAAGGACTCCATGAAGCTTGACTATCTCATTCATATACATGTTGGCCAGCTTCTCAATAGGTGTGCCAGTTCAATAGGGTAAAAAGTGAGCTAACTTGGTCAATCGATCCATGGTGACCCAGATGGAATCATTTCCCTTCAAGGTTTGTGGTAAACCTGTCACAAAGTCCATGGTAATTGATGCACCAAATACGCACTAATTTTAGGCAAGTTAACCTAATCGATTATGCAGTATAAGATGAGTAAGTTATCGTTCCCTCGAAGACTATCCTACACTACCAAGACCCTATTAATCTAACCTAAGTTGAATTAATCAATTAATGGGAAAAGACTAAACT